AAAAAAAAAAAAAAAAGAAAAAAAAATACAATAACAAACGATAAATGAAGAAATTTTATTTTTATTTCGTAAGAGAAAGAGAGAGATATTTAAAGTCTATATACGCGAGCGTATAAAATATTTGTACGAGAGGAAGAAAAATAGTATGGAAGGAGGAAGGAGTGGAGAAAGGGGGGAGGTCCGACACGAGTTGACACGAGCACGCGACCAACAAAAAACTCGACCGAGTGCTCCTACTCTTAATTATCTTGTTAGTCGTGCCCACTACTCCTCCAAGCCAGCCACCCAATTCTCTCCTCTTTCACACTTGACACGAGATCCATTTCCAATCGAGATCGATTCTTTCCTTTATTCGTATCGATTGCTTGGTGTCATTTTTTACACAGAGGAATTTTAATTATCAACGAGTTTATCGAACAGTTTTCGTATATTTTGTGCACGCTTACGGAAAAATATCGAAGTGGAGAAGAATTTTAACCGATGAGCGAGCAATATGGGTATTCCGTCGTCTTTTAAAACGCGTAACAACAAGGTCCGCATGTCGAAATAGCCGCGTTATTAAACGATTGCCTCAATTCAAAGGCAAATTAACGGACAACGGGCTTAAGTCGACTGCTTGCTAACATGCAAACGGCCCCGTCCAATTGAGGACCACCCAAACTGCCCCTTTTATCTCGAGACGATTCGTATCCCGATCCTATTCATCGACCGTTCCAGAATGAGCGGCCACTTGGCAACCGGGCCATTCCCTCTCCCTCTCCCACTCCCTCCCTTCTTCCCTCTCTTTCTTTCTCTCTTTTCGATTTCGAAACACGAGTCGAGCCGTTTATGCGATATTTCGAATTGTTTTCGATATATGTACGATTAGAAGATTTTGTAGATGATCATAGGGATAATATAGGGATAGTTATAAAGAGGTTTCAGAATTATCTGGATTTTTTCAATCAAGAAAATTATATATATAGTTTTATTTAATAATAACATGCAATCTTTTTTATATATGTTAGGTTCGCATAACCTAACATATCAGATTGTATCTCGACCCAAATTTTATATATTTAGATCGGAATCATCGTACATATTATTAATTAGGATGTGTATAATGAGTAATATGTTAAATATGTGTCGATATTTAAAATAATAGACGATAAATAAGAAATTTAATAGAAACGATTCGAATATTACTTTTTCTAATTCGCATGTAAATGTATCTCGGTAATCGTTACGAAAAAATCCTTTTGATCCGAGAGGATGGGTGGAAGGGGAAAAGTGGAAAAGTGGAAAGTGCTGGTAAGACGGCGGCTCACGACAGAGGCAACTATAAGGCGCGTTACGATTATGAGGGTGTTTAACGCGCGTTCACTCGACTCGAATTATTCTCACGAGGTCGATAAACCTTCCTTGAGAATGGTTGGTTTAATTAAAAGAGCCACGCATGCGGGATCGACCTAAAAACGATCGACATACTTGGACATTTTGGACGACGGATAAATATGCAAACTGGTAACTTTTAACCTAACCTAAAAACGATCTTGACTTCACGCGTATTGGACGACCAATAACCTCGATATCCGCGAATTCTTTCCTCTGAATAAAAGTGATCTAACCTAAAAAATATTTCTTTCTTTTCTCTTTATGTATAAACGATTCGTTTATTATCTTTGATATTTTTATCGGTGTATTAATAGTGTTTCGTTGTTTTTTAACAAGTTTATTATTTTTAATTAATGTTATATAAGAGTGTTAACCTTGAATTTGAATATCCTCGCAGATATGGCGGAAGTTTAACATCTCTTTCGGTGACAAACTGCCTTCGAAACGAGAATCCAACGAAATCGAAGACGATTTTAGGAGTATTCCCGTGTAACCTGCCAAAGGTTCGAGGATTCGTCTCGACTCTGCCAACTCCCCAGAGCCCGTTCTTCTTTTACTTTTCCCAAATAAAACGACAGCTAATCGATAGTCCGTCAAGTTCCCTTCTTTTTGTCTTCTATTTTAGACGATGATTTTTCTTTTTTTTTTTCTCTCCTTCCTTTTTTTTATTCACCCGCAAAGATTTTCTTTCATTTTTCCAAAATTTTCATAAATCTTAATTAAATCGTCGCTCTTCTCGATTTTTTAAATTTATTTTCATCGTTCATTTAACTTTATAAAACTATTCTCTTTCTTTCTTTTTTCTTTTTTTTTTAATCGACACATTTTCAATCGGATAATGCGAAAAAAATTCTTACGTGTCGCATCAATCAAATTTTTCTTTAAGTATCATTATCTGCCAAAATCTAATTCAAAAAAATTCTATTTAAATATAATATTTCTTTATTTATCATAAATTACTTTACAAATTCACCTAATTCAAAAAATTCTATAAATTATCCAAGCATAATATATTTCTTCACATAATATTCATCAGACTTTACCTTCTTATAAACACAGAAAATCAACACCGTGTATATCCAAAATACGCTCGACGAGTCATCAGATTTTGCTTTATCATCGATCAAGGATTAGCTTTCACCCGAAGAGAATCAATCTATATTGGAAAATTTACATTCACCTGCCATTTACTTTATCAAAGATCACCTTCAATCAACCGAGGAGTGGAGGGGAGGAAAATCAGTGGTGCGCGAAAATCGACGGCAGGGGTGTACAACGCATACACGGAAAGGAGGCGCGAAGAGGAGGAGAAGAAGAAGAAGAAGAAGAAGCAAATGGCAAGAGGAGCGAGAAAGGTGAAAGAAGGCGAAGGAAAGGTTGGCCGGCGGTGGCAAGGCGGAGCGTGGAGGTGGCGGGGGCGGAGCGAGGCGAGTTTCAGAGGCGTGATGTATCGACGGAATTTCAAAGTAAAAAAGACACGAGGTTCAGGAGACGAGGTACACGTCTTCCTTGTGGAGAAATTGCACGGGATACTTCGGCCGAACGTGAGTGTGTCTCCGCACCCTTCTGGTGTTATCCCCCCAGCTGCTCCTTTTCACTCCGATCTTCGTCTTCCTTTTTCCTTTTTTCGCTTTCGAAATCGATTTTCGTGATCGCTCGTGAAGTAAATCGATCGTGGTCGATTGTCGTTATATCGAGGGAGGGAGGAGAGTAAGAGAAGTAAGAGAGTGGGGGAGAAGTGGGAATGAGATTACGATGCGCGCCATCTATTGGAACAGAGGAATCGAAGGAGTGAAAACGTGAACAGAGAGAGAGAGAGTGGAAAAAATTGTAAATGATTTATGTGGTGACGAATAATGTGATCGAAAAAAATGGGACGAGGATCAAAGGTGGATAGTGAATCGAATTATCGAACGAAAATGGCGAGGTAATTTTCCTTCTCTTCGCGCGAGAGAAAGAGAGATAAAGGGACGGGATGCATAATCAACGGTGGAGAATCACTACGATTTAAGAAATTTTCGAAATTTGGATCGATGCGAGAGAGAGAGAGAGATGAGAGTAGCGATGCATAATCCATCGGAAGGGATGAGAAATCGACGGTGAAGGGTGTGATGGCGCGCGGAGCAAGTGGAGAGAAGCGTAAGGGTAAGGGAGGATGAGGGTGAAGGAAGGAGAATGGGGACGAGAACCGCGATCCATCAAGAAGACACAAGGGTTTGGGGTGATGTATCCGAGGATAGGTTGACCTCTGCGCCGGACACTATAAAATCACTCTTAAACATTCCTTCCTAAAGCGATCGTGAGCTTTGGAACGAAACTGGACTGGACTGCCTCCTCTCCAATTTTCGAATTTTTCCTCCATCTTTTACGATCAATTTATTATCCGCGATCGCGAGATAATTAAATTCGAAAACTGTGGATAAGTGTCGTAACGCTCGAAACTTTTGTTGTTGATGTTTGGAAATGCTCAAATATATGGGAAAATACGAAAAAAATGTATCGTGATATAGTTATTAATAATTTTTCCTTAACGATGAAAATTATAAATAAAGGTTATGAAAACTATTTATCGTAAGAAATATCGTAACTCGAAGTTTGTTAAACTTATCATTATGAAAGATAAGAAACGCGCGAAATGATAATCTAATTAAATTATACACATATTATAAATTAATAAATACATACTCTACACGATTACATATGTATCATCGAAATCAACTAAGCTATCATTCAAACATATTAATCATAACCATACTTGCTTAAAACTTACGAGTCTACCTACCATTATCGAGCGAAGCTTTGTGTATCCATAAGAAAGAAAACCATCTCTCCTCCTTACCGACACGCGTGGCAAAAGCGTGGATCTCGTATGCGGCGAACGAAATATCGGATGGCGTTCCGTTGTATCGTTCTCGTCTCATTGAAAACGCCGCCACCGGCCACCCTCCTCCCGGCGAAATGTCACGAAACGTCGGAAATTGGAAAGCTTATTCATATTTTTTCGATAGACGATAATGCGGCGGATCGGCCACTTTCATTCCATCGCATACGCATGTAATACGCGTGGGATGAGGGCAGGATGGGTATTTCCTTCTCCCCTCCCCGCGATCCGTCGATTCCATTCGCGAAACAGCGTACGCTTTCCATCAACCTTGCAACGTGTATCGAAGTAACGGAAACGGATCGAGGTGTTTCGCCGGCGAGGTTCGACGAGACAATGGCGAACGATCAACGATTTCCCCTTGTTTTGTTCTCCTTGCTCTTGCTTCCCCTTCCAAAATAGAAACATTAATGGATGTTTACGCGCGGAACGCGTGTCTGTAGAGAGAGAGAGAGAATTCGTACGTTTACAATTTTCGAAATAATTTTTATTGAGTAAAATAAATACGTATTTTTTTTTTTTTTTTTTTTTCTATTGAAAATTCAATATCGATAATAACCAATTATTTTGTACGTAATTTTTCTGTACCTATATACACGATAGATTTATACAATAGAATATTATTTTATAACATTGAATGGAATAATTCCATTAAATAAAATAAAATTTTTTTTCTTTAGAAATAAAACGAATGTTATCTGTACATCTTTTAATTTATTTTATCGTTCTCTCTTATTCAAAGTAAACGATCTGATTGACAATAATAAACGAGGATAAGTGAGAAGAAGTGTATGTTTCTTTTTCATTTTTGTTTCTTTTTCTTTTCGTGCAACTAAAACACGAGCGAATTTCGATGACGCGGCGATGGATGGGTCGCGCTGTGTACGGAAAAAGGGTCGTGGGAAGGGAACGCGGACACGAATACGATTATACGTGGGCGTAGAACGAGCATTGGAAATTAGACACACGTTTCATTTCCTGAAGCGACTGCGATTTCCGTCGTGGCTTCAAATATTGGAAATATCGCGCCTCGTTCAATTTCAACCGCGAGATCATCGATTCCAACTACCGATTTTATTGACGAGTCTGAAAAACGTTGACCAGAAACGTTGTTGGTTCGATCCGACTCGATTCAATAAAATATAAGTTATTTAAATAAGTATATATGTATTATTAATATTATATTATATATAATATTATATATTTTAATATTAATATTATAT